ATAATATATATATTCGGAATAAATTTAACGTATGTACAATATAGTGTTCACGCTATAGAGAATATGAGCATATCTCTTATAAATATTAAATAACAGGCTTTAGAATTATTTTAAATTTACGTTCACCTATAGCTCTGACTTTGAGCAAAAACGTATAGCTCGCCCTCTCTCGATGTTGGCAGATTTTATATATAAAATAATAATAATACTTTTTTAAATATTTATTAAATACCTGCTCTTTCTATATGTTTACTCCAACATTGCTTATTATATCACATCGAGATAAAACAGTTTGTTAATACATATTGCACCTGGAATTCCATTCAAATGCCTCACGTGTAATTAATTTGATTTAGACTTAACCATGTAATTTTACAACACCTTTAGATGGCGCGCAGTACATTTTCAAACAGCTGAAAGAATAGTGGAATAGTAAAGTTCATGTAATTGAAATTTTGGGTACTAATTACTATATAATTAGCACAATAGTTAGACTTAATTAAGTGTTACATGTGTGATACGAGGCTACTTAGTAAACTTTAGGATCTATATTGAATGGCTAGAAACTTCATTTTGTTGTTTTGCATGAATGTAAAAATAAAATATTAGTACTCAATAATTAATTCATAACTTGAAAGTTGAAGTTCTTGCAAGTGAAGGTAGTATACTACCTAGCCGTGGTGCGAAACCTGTAGTTTGTGCACTAAAGTTGTAAGTGAAGTTTATTGTTGAGTTCATTCGTGCCTAACTTCTCTGGTATACATTCACTTGTGTCAAGCTGCCTTTAAAAGTTTTTTTTATCAATATCCAATAATTTTGACCCATAATCTATTGCTTGTATCTGATTTTACCATAACAGTAAGGATTTGAATATATATTATGTGGGCTGTCTTTCTACTGTAACAATTGCTACTCTATAAATACAAGTGTGAAAATATAAGATGACATAAGTTTTTCAGCATGTGAAATTGGAGGGACTCTATTTTAGACTTGATACATGGGAGGATATACATAGGTTGAGAACATTATATTACAACGTTTTTGTAGCCTGATCCTGTCATTACATTTACAGACCGTGTTGCCATATGGTCATGCTTTATCTAATGACACCATGATAATATCCTTTTATCATAGTTTCCATTACTAAAGGCTCCGTCACCACACTGTCATATCCAAATTGCACCATTTACTTCCTGTTAGTTTCCTATCATTTTTCTAATATATGAGGTTGATATTTTTTTCCAGCACCCATTTCAAGCAATATCAAAATATATTTCTGATATGCACAGTTCTACCTCAACAGTATATTGGCTGTAGTTATCATGAGACTTACTGATTTGTATATTGAAAGTTATAGTAATATAATGTACTCAACCCTCTGTAGATTATAGATAGTGATATTTTGCAAGAAGAGCATTTTACTAGGAGGAATTATAAATTGTTTTTTATGTTTTTACTGAAATCATCTGTAAAAATATTTTGAGAAACAGATTGGCTAGCTAATATATTCTAAATATTAAAAAAATTATGAATCCTAGAATGAGGCTGAAAAATAAATCATTCCAAAAATTGATGAATAGTAGTATAAAATATATTAGCTTGAATTTAAAAATGAAGGGTGATGTGCAGGGTTGTCAACTGTGTGTAAAAATAAAGTCAAATTTTAACTGTTTGTAAACCCATAAATAGCAAAAAATGTTTTATTTTAATGATGTCAGTAAAATATACTAATGATGAAGTTTATTTAAGAGTAAAGATGAAAAACCTATCATTAAGGCTAAGAGAGAAAAATATTGTACAGTTAATAACAGATTTTTTAAATGTTTGTTATGTTTTGTTACCCATAAAAAAAACATTGTCAAGAGCAATCTTGGTGCTTTCAGGGGATTTAAAGAGAAAATACCTAAAGTGTTCAACAATTCATATAATTCAGGAACAAGAAGAGATTTCTAAACAAACAAATTTCTTTAAAGGCAAATAACTTTCTTTTAATTCTGTTTGTGTTGAAGTAGTAATTTTAGAAAAATGTGATAAAGTTTTAGTGATTAATGCTTCTAATCATGATGATCTTTATCATAAATCTTTGTAGAAACTTAGCATAAAAATAATGGATTTTATCTGTAATACTTTTCAAAACTTTCTTGACATTATGGAAATTCCCTGTGATTGGAAGATTGGCAGTGTCGCACTGTTGTTAAAAAAAAAAAAGGAAAACAAATCCATAAAACTATAGGCCTGTTTGATTTCTGGTAGTATAATGTTGAAATTGATTATGCTAGTGTTGATGCATCATCTTTTTTTCCTGCTTAATGATGAGAAATGTAGAACTAGGTGACACAAATATAAATTTTGGAAGGTTATGAGTCATCTTTAGCTAGAGCATTATTTTTTTTTAGAGTTGTAGAATGAGAAAGTGAACAGATTTGTTCTTTGGTGAACATGTACTGGAAGAAATGTGTGTGTATATACTTGAAAACCTTGGTACCCATCAGATTTTAAATTACCCAGTGCAGCCTGGGTGTTATTTCAATACTTAAATACCAGTTATTAATTTGAGAATGTAAAGAAAGTCTAGAAAATATGACAACAATGCAGTTCTGAGCATGGGTCCCTGCCCAATGTAATAAAGATGAGTTTGAAATTAGGTTTTTTTGTTAATATGAGAGCTTCTTTAACAGAACAGAACATTAATGATGAGTACTGTACAACAATAGTAGAAATATTTCTTCTTCTCCACTATATACAGCATTTAACCATGTATTAATATTTGTGATAAATTTATTGCAAGTTTGTTTCATACTACCTGAACAGGACCCGTGTTGCAGTGTTTTTATACCAGAAGTGTTCAGCAATTCTTGATAAACGTTTATTTTATTGAGGAGCAAGAAGAGATTCCAAAAAAAAACAAACAGATTTTCTAAAGGTGGGGAGTATTTCTCTGTTTCTGAATATTCTAGAAAGCAGAATCTACCTGTGCTGACCTCTAGTGTTTACGCGTGTATTAAAAAAGGCTACAATTCTTTAAGTTTTAATATTTTTGTGAGGAGTGGTCTCAGTTGTCATGTTTTTTTGTGTCAAAGTTATTGATCTGTTTAATGAGTAAGGTCAATGTAATGTAATTTTAATGTTGGAGACGGGTAATATTTTTTACCCCTTAAATATGCATACAATAATATGCCATAATTATATGCACGTTAGCTTACAAACTCTTTGAGGAGTTTTTTTAGTAATGGAAAACAAGTTCACACCGAAATTTCATTACATTTTTCTCCAACACTCAGAAACTTCACTACTCGTCACATTTCTATTGTGAATCCTAGTTTACTAACTATTAATCTGTTCATCAGATCTATAGCTGTGATTATTTGTCTTTATTTAAAAAGGACTAAAGGACTAAAGATATTCATTGTCATTTTTTTCATGTTTGGAACAAGTTTTATAGTTCAGCCAAACTATTTTTTTGTAGTAAATACACTTACTTTACTAACAACTCCAGCACCTCAAATGCTGCAGAAGAGGTAATTAATTGTGCCTGTTTATATATTCAAACAAACAAGATTAATGTTACATACTTTTTTCACACCAGTTAGTTAACTACATTATAAATTACAGTGTATTTATTAACTTTCCAGTGTTTATATTTTCTTACTTTTGGTTGTTACCCATATAATTATACAAACAATGATATTTTTGTGTTGAATTTTCTGAATATGATGTTAAAATTATACCTCATTCAGTGTGTTATTTACTCTTGTAGGGTTGAGACTTCACAAGTGAAAAATAAATTGTAGGATGTGCACATCACAAACACACCTTGTCAGCAGGATCCTTTTAAGTTGGAAAAAGAGGTCATTTCATCACTGCATGTTTTCCAGCTTCTACTCAGAGTCTATCACAGCCCCTGTAGATGTTCATAATGTGTATTTTCACAATTCAGGAGGTTTTTCTGAAGAAAATGGTTTGAATAAATGTTCACCATCTTTATGCGAAAGAAGAGTATTGAAAAGAAACAGTCAAAAAAAATTTCTACAAAGTCCCTTACTTAGAAAAATATGTGGCAGTTCCATTAATATTTCAGTTGGAGAGAGTACCAACATTTCTACCACACAGACACGACACTACTCGTGGAATTCGTGGACTATACAAATTGCCAAATCACAACCAGTCACGTGGGCTCAGGAATGTTTGGAACAAATTCATAGCACTGTAGGACTTCCCTGGTGGCTTAGTATTTTAGTAACAACGCTGGGACTAAGACTGTGCGTGACTTTTCCTCTCTCTGTTTATCAAAATTACATACTTGCTAGATTTGAAAACCTACAACCAGAAATCAAAGAACTTGCACAGAAACTGAAGCAGGAAACAATAATAGCCACAAAAATGTACAGTTGGTCTGAGAAAACGGCGAGAACAGCATACAACAGAAGTGTAATTACTTTTTACTTTCATTTACTTTGAAGACCTATGACCATACATGTACTGCTCTGTAAGAGTTAATAGAAAGGTGCTAATTTAATCAAATATACGAGATGTTATGCCATTGTATTTTCTGAGTATTTAACTACTTTGCTTTGAATATTCTTTTAAATTTATATGCAGGTTAAAATACTTTTTGAGATTCTAGATAAAAAAATAAGCTTTTAGTTTAAAGCTTATGTCTAGAATCTGTAATTTTCTTACAAAATTTTAAAATGCACATTAATAGTTTCAAATTGAGTTGAATCATAGAATCTTGGTTGCTTAAAAATATACATATATAAAGCTTCACAAAAAGATTTATCAAATTCATGTACTGTATAGATTCAGTTTTACTTGTATATAAATGTCACAAAAATGGTCTGACAGCTCGAGCTCTTCTGAGGAGTGGCCTCTTTTTCACGAGGAGCAAAAATATAAAGGAGGAGGCACATGAACTTGAAAGAGCCTAAAGGTTTTCATAACAGAAATATTTAGTCAAAGTGATGGAGAGAAAACTGACAAACGATGAGACAAAGAGGTTGTGTAGCATTACACATATAAAAGATGCAAAAAGTAAAAATAAAATGGAGCTAAAGGGTCTCAAAGAATAAAGGGTAGAATCGATTGAAACAAATTTAATCAATATCAAGAACAATTGTAAGTTGAAGAAAGCCAGAAATGTTAAAAAAAAAGGAAGTCAATCGTATTGTTTTTGTGTATAACTTAAAACTTATTAGTATGTTTTTTTTAGTATAAAATTTATTTTCAAATTAATTCCTCACTGTGTTTTACATTTTTAAGCTTCGAAAACGAATAGCTGAGTTGATAGTGCGGGACAACTGTCATCCTTTCAAGGCCACTATTCTAATCTGGTTTCAGCTTCCTATGTGGATTAGTCTTTCATTTGCCTTGAGAAACATGGCTTTTATGTTTCCTTACCAAAATACAGGTTAGGTTCTATCCTAGTCTATAATCTTGCCTATTGATTTTACCAAACTTTGCTCTGCTTTTAATTATATCAAAAATATGTTACTCATTAGCTGACTTGTTGATTTTATGTTACTAGTAGAAAGATTTTAAGATATTTGTTTTGCTTAAGAAAAACTTATTTGATCAGTTTTAGGATTTTTCAGACTTGAAATTGGCAGGATGGTCAGGCAGAGGTAGTAAAATGAAATGGTATTAGAGGAAATTAAATTTTTTATACAGATATACAGTGGTCTTATTTTTCTCATAAGAAAGATTCCCTTTGATCATTGCGGCTAGTTTTCTAATACCAAAATATTCTATTCACTTTTTAAATTTTCTGACATTTTTCTAAGAATCAAACTTATTACTGGGATATCTTCATCCAAAAAAAGAAAAAAGAAAAAAAAAAGGCCCGGCATGGCCAGGTGGTTAAGGTGCTCGACTCGCAATCTGAGGGTCGCGGGTTCGATCTCCGTCACACCAAACATGCTCGCCCTTTTAGCCGTGGGAGCGTTATAATGTGACGGTCAATCCCATTATTCATTGGTAAAAGAGTAGCCCAATAGTTGGCGGTGGGTGGTGATGACTAGCTGCCTTCCCTCTAGTCTTACACTGCTAAATTAGGGACGGCTAGCGCAGATAGCCCTCGTGTAGCTTTGCGCAAAATTCAAAAACAAACAAACAATCATCCAAAAAATAGTAAAACCCTAAAAACCAAGTATTTAACTAGTTGATAAGGAATGAAAAAATATCCTGGTTTCAAACTCATTCTTATTATTGTTTTCATCGAATACCATTTCTTTACAAGATGCTTTTCTAAATGACAACAGACTACAACACTTTTCTAACAACAGAAGTCAAAGAAATAGATCTGTCATTTCTAATAGTGTGTTCAATCATTGATTATACCAAACATTCATCATTTTTCACTATCAACCAAGTATTTGGTTAATATTTTAATAATCACTTATTAGTCAATTATAACAAGCAAATGAAAAAATAATAATAATAACCTTTACGGTCTATTCAATCTGGAAATTTTACTAGCAGCAGAAACAATGAAACTACACTGAGTCCCCTCCCCCTCACCTAGTGGAAATTCCCTTCTTCTCTCACTCGTATTGATTATGCTTGTCATCATGGTTACACTGCCATCTTATGTATGATTGGTAAATAAGTAGACATCACAGTGGAATATGTGTCGTGCTATCATAGCAGCGAATGTTGAATCCCACGACACCAAAGCCAGATTAATTATGAAAACTCTTCATAATCAATAACAGCTGTCAAGCTTGTTAGTCATGTATGGCTGTTTACAGTTATATTGCTATGTTAATGTGTTATTAACTGAGTGTTTAGCCTTACCATTACTCCTTGAAAGGATGTGTTATTAACTGAGTGTTTAGCCTTACCATTACTCCTTGATAAGATAGTGTTATTAACTGAGTGTTTAGCCTTACCATTACTCCTTGAAAGGATAATGTGTTATTAACTGAGTGTTTAGCTTTACCATTACTCCTTGAAAGGATAATGTCTTATTAACTGAGTGTTTAGCTTTACCATTACTCCTTGAAAGGATGTGTTATTAACTGAATGTTTAGCCTTACCATTACTCCTTGAAAGGATAATGTGTTATTAACTGAGTGTTTAGCTTTACCATTACTCCTTGAAAGGATAATGTGTTATTAACTGAGTGTTTAGCTTTACCATTACTCCTTGAAAGGATAATGTCTTATTAACTGAGTGTTTAGCTTTACCATTACTCCTTGATAAGATAGTGTTATTAACTGAGTGTTTAGCCTTACCATTACTCCTTGAAAGGATGTGTTATTAACTGAGTGTTTAGCTTTACCATTACTCCTTGAAATGATAACGTGTTATTAACTGAGTGTTTAGCCTTACTATTACTCCGTCATAAAATTGAAGTCTTCACCTCAACAGCCAAGTATACCAGTTTACTGTGTGTTTGTATTAACACTTTTTCCTCATCCTAGCTGCACAGGTGGTGTTTATGGAACTCTCTGTTGGCGGAACACTTTGGTTTTCTAACTTAGCCATACCAGACAGTTCACTGGCCATTCCAATAATGCTAGGACTGGTCAATTTGGTTATAGTGGAGGTAAGGTTTTTAAATTGGCAGTAAAACTTATTAGAACCTTATGTAACTCATTATGGAAAATCATTATTAATTTAATGAGAGACACGTTCGTCGTAAAAAGTTCTTAGATTTTTTATAAGTACATTTAAATCAAAATTAATACATTTGGTTATTTCCATTGTATTTCCAAAAGAAGTGTATGTTCTATTAAAGTTTTAGGCTGGATTATTATTTTTACCTGTAACTGAAGTTCGACTAAATAAACTGAGGACTAAATTTGAGCTTTTAAATTGACTGTTTTTTCATTACCACCTAATCGAGTAGATGCATGCTTTGAGGCGGATGCAACGATTCTCCAAGCTGCAGAAATGGACCACAAATCTCTTCCGTGGCCTGAGTGTTGTCATGATTCCCGTAGCTATGATCATGCCTTCTGTAAGTGTTTAGTTTTAAAGGTCACAGTTAGGAAGCAATACTTGATATAAGGCTGGTTAGTTTTTAAACTAACTCCTCATGGTAAACTTTCCATAAGTTAGCAAACATGCTGTTATAAGTTATTAGAATTGTAGAAAAGCAAGTTTGGAAAACATTTCTGAGATTACTCCATGATCTAGATGTTTCTCTTCTCGTCAAGTTTGCTGTTTACATCACACTTAGATAAGCATTACTTTAAGAATATGGTGTAATGCAGACTTCCCAGTAATTTAATTTCTCATTCGCTATGTTTAAAAACCAGTGAAATGGAATAAATATTATGAATTTTGCTCATGGTGTTTTTCTGAATGTATTAAACAGTAAAAGGAGATAGGTGATAAAAGAAGATAAGGTTTTATTTTAATGTCTGGAAGGATTACTTAGCTGGTGAATGATTTGAACTGTGTTTGAAAAATGACGAAAGAAAGTGAGAACTGCTATATTACCACCTTGCTATTGCAGGTACAGATAAGAAATTATCATTAATTAGGGGGAAATTGGCTAAATCCATACGAGATATTCTTTATATTCTCCAAATTCAGTAGTTATATTGTGGCTTAGTATATTTACAGTAATACTTTTAACACCAAGCTTGTATACTGTTCTAGAAGATTCCAGGTAGTGAGGTAGGGAACTAGTGAGACATCGATGCATAGTCTAAATACAGAAAAAAAACAAAGTTATAACAGTTTAGCATTTGTAACTATATTTCTCTTTAAAATTTAAAAAAAAAAAAACGAGCACTATTGTGAACGGAACTCTGCTGTAAAAAATAGAAAGAAAAGAAAGCAAAACTGTTTACACGCATCCATAACTCTCGGTAGATTATAACCTCAAAATTTCTCTTGAGAAATGGAAAGGTGAGGGGGTGGGGGGGTATTTTTCGCTGTTTTGAAAATTAAATAGACTGCTAGCGTTCTTTTAAAATTAAGATGAAGAACAACTTTTAGGCTTAATCAAAGTGATACAACTTACAAAAGTGAAATAATGGAAGAATGTTGTTGTTTTTATAATGTAATATAATTAATATTGTAATAATAAATAATACTGTACTAATAAATTGTGTGTAATAAAAGTGTCATAAGAAAAAACAAATCTTGTAGGTCACCGTTTTTATAATTTATACTCGGGTAAGGGAGAAAATCCCTGGAAAATATTTATTTTTAGATTTAGCATTTTTATGAAAGGGATTTGTAAGATGTTAAAATTTGGGAATCACTGCTCTAGGATATCAGTTAAAAATTAGGGATAGCTAGCACATATAACTCTTGTGTACGTCTACATGAATACCTGAAACAAACAAACAAACTTTCCGATTCTTGAGAGAATAGCAATTACTTCACGTCATTGAGATGTTATCACAGCATTGTCACAGAGTTGTTATCACAGCATTATCACAGAGTTGTTGTACAACACATCATGTCATTGAGACACTATTACAGCATTATCACAGAGTTGTTGTACATCACATCATCAAGACACTATCACAGCATCGTCAAAGAGTTGCTGTACAACACATCATATCATCAAGACACTATCACAGCATTATCAGAGTTGTTGTATGACACATCTTGTCACCAAGACACTATCACAGCATTGTCACAGAGTTGTTGTACAACACATCACATCATCGAGACACTATCACAGCATTGCCACAGAGTTTTTGTATAACACATCAGGTCACTGGCACACTATCACAGCATTGTCACAGAGTAGTTGTTCAACACATCATGTCATAAAGACACTGCCACAGAGTTGTTGTACAACACATCATGTCATCAAGACACTATCACAGCATTGTCACAGAGTTGTTGTACAACACATCATGTCATCAAGACACTATCACAGCATTGTCACAGAGTTGTTGTACAACACATCATATCATCAAGACACTATCACAGCTTTGCCACAGAGTTGTTGTACAACACATCAGGTCACTGGCACACTGTCACAGCATTGGCACAGAGTTGTACAACACATCATGTCATCGAGACTATCACAGCTTTGCCACAGAGTTGTTGTACAACACTGTCAAGAAACCACATTTCATATTTGTGCGAAAACAAAAGAAGACAAGATGAAATTCTAAAGGTAAACCGTCACAACCTGAAGACTTATTTGTTCACCATTTTTAGCCATTATTCTGAAATTATCAGTTATTTGAAAAATTTAAATCTCTGTCTTGTAGTTTTTTAACTTCATAATCAATAAACGTATAAAACAAGTCTTAAGAAAGATAGCTTAGATTAGAAGCTTTTGACTGATTTCAAAACATCTTCTGGTTCAGTGATAATGTTACTACGAATGTAATGTGCTCTTTATAGTTTTTGTGTGCATGTGTGTTTTGTTATAAGAAAGTCACATCAGGCTATCTGCTGTGTCCACCGAGGGGAATCAAACCCCCTCATGTTGCAAATCTGAAGACATGCTACTGTCCAACCAAGGAACTCGTAGCTTATTTCTCTAGATTACAAAGTACTTGTTACATGTTACAGAATGTGTGTGTTCTCTGTATAGAATGTTTATTTGCTTTGGCTTTTTTATGTAGGATGATATTTGCTTTTGCGTTTCATTAACCCTAAATTTCTCCCACACAAGGTGAAACTAAAGTTTTGTGGATAAGGCTAATTTCAATCTAACAGGGCAGTGACCAGCATTTGATGCCTCATTTATTGCATGTGAAAGCTATAAAGAAAAGCATTAGCAATGCACTAAACAAAATAAAACTTTAGCCCAATTCTGATATATATTGACATTTCTTAGTGGCTTTTATTTTGTGATTAAACAGTGGTGTAGGAAGGAATTGCAAAGTGGGGGAGTTTAGCTCGACATGCAGATAATATAATAATATAATTTGTAACACCACCCCCTTTTCCAATGCCTCTGTTAAAAGACAATTTTTACACATTCATTGGTAATCAGAAGTAAGAAATAATTAACAAGATTGAATTCTAAGTGTCATGTTGTACTAAAACAAAATGAGAAAAAGTTTTGTTTTTATTTGTTAACACCAAAATATGTATTCAAATCTGAAGTCACTTTTTACATCCTCTCCTATACTTCATCCATCTACATCTGAATCTGCTATTTCTCAGAATTAAGCCTTATTTTATTATAATCATTCATTTGTTGTTGAAAACCTTTTCTTGTTCGCATAATTAGTCCTAATCAGTTATGCCTTCTTTCATATAGTATATACAAAAAGCATTTTATTGTATCGTTTATTTTGTATCTTGATAATGAAGGTTTCACTGTTCTTGTTTTTTAACTCTTACATCTTGCTGACTTTTTATAAAAAGAGCTTGATATATTAAATGATTATGAAATATCCAAATTAAAAATGCCTCTATGTATATATAATGACTACTGTTATCGTATGTTGTGGTGTACAATGTAATCAATAATGGAAATCAAAACATGTTTAAATTAACACTTGTAAGATATTGTGGGGGTTGTTAGAAGTATAGTTTTGAGTAGAAACTTTTCTTGTTCCTACGAAACATTTAAATAAAAACACAAGATATAAAACTAGTATAACTATGCTGCTGATGAGTTTATAAAGAAAGTTACAGATATTTAAACATAATTTTCTTTTGTCCTTTTTTTTTTCTTCTAGTGTGTTTCTTTGTACTGGTTGTGCTCCAGTTTGTTTGGACTTAGTCAAAATTTGGTATTGCAAATACCAAAAGTGAGAAGATTTTTTAGGATACCACAGAGTCCTAGTGAAAGTCCAACTCCTTTTTTGGATGCTGCACAAAACTTGAAAACCAAACTTTCAAGAAAGTCAAAATAAATTAGTCGTTGTTGTTGTTTTAAGAAATTTATTTATATTTTAGGATTTAAGTCTCTTTGTTTTTGTACACTTTATTAGCTAAACTTTGTAGATCTAGGTTTTAGTTCAGTTGTTTTCTGTTTTGACAAATGTATTGTTTTGACGATCATGCTTTTTAATTGTCATTGATGTTGGTTTCTCAACCAATTAGTAAAGGACTTTTTTTTTATTGATGTTTCGTTATTAATGTCTCATCAACACAGTAGTATAATTTTATATTTCAAGCTCTTTCTAGATGTAAAAGTCACATAAATATCACTTGTCAAGAAGTTTAACAACCAGTAGGATAAAATAAAGAACACTATGAAAAATAACTTAAGAATTAGGTTTATAGATGTTCTTTTTGCTCTATCACCTTCAGTTTCTAAACCTATAGCTAGTTAGTTTAACAAAACATCGTACCATCATCTTCAGTTTCTAAACCTATAGCTAGTTAGTTTAACAACACATTGTGCCATCCTGCTCTCTCACCTTTAGTTTATAGATGTTCTTTTTGCTCTATCACCTTCAGTTTCTAAACCTATAGCTAGTTAGTTTAACAAAACATCGTACCATCCTACTTTCTCACCTTTAGTTTATAAACCTATAGCTAGTTAGTTTAACAACACATCGTGCCATCCTGCTGTCTCACCTTTAGTTTATAAACCTATAGCTAGTTAGTTTAACAACACATCGTGCCATCCTGCTCTTTCACCTTTAATTTATAAACCTATAGCTAGTTAGTTTAACAACACACCATGCCATCACCTTCAGTTTCTAAACCTATAGCTAGTTAGTTTAACAACACATCGTGCCATCCTACTCTCTCACCTTTAGTTTCTAAACCTATAGCTAGTTAGTTTAACAACACATCGTGCCATCCTGCTCATGTGTTGTTAAACTAACTAGCTATAGGTTTATAAACTAAAGGTGAAGAGTAGGATGGCACGGATGTGTTGTTAAACTAACTAGCTATAGGTTTATAAACTAAAGGTGAAACTAGCTATAGGTTTAGAAACTGAAGGTGATGGCACGGAGTTTAACAACACACATTAGTGTATATATTGTATATTGCCTGCTCTCTCTGCTGTTCTACTAAAAAAACTCTGACTTAGAGTTTTGTTCCTGATGGGGTTAATTTCTGTGAACACTACATCATGAACATATACAGGTATTAGTCACCTTCAATCCTAGTATCTCATCTCCTTGATTTCATAGATTTCTGGCTGATTAAGAGAAGACTAATCTGTCGTTGCAATAATTTATTTATATTAATCCTTCTACAGTAATAGTGAATGAAGCTACTTCTTAGTCCTGCAACACAATTTCAACATTTCATGTTGCTATTTTCTGTGGTCTTTAATTGTTTTCGAAACATGGGTACAGAATATCATTTAATGCCAAAAAATCTATTTATGCGTCAATGGATATGACAAAAAATATACTGTGGTTGGAATATGATTATTATACACTCTCCGAACTCTTGAAAATCATTAAGGGTCTAGATAAAGATTGTAGTGTCTAAAAATGTGATAGGCCTAATATTAATGTCTTATGGCAAATACAATTAATGGTTCTTTGCCGGCTTGTAAAAGACTTACACACAATAACAATTGTTGTTATACATCAATACCAAATGTCTTGTATAAATAGTATTCTGACCACTGCTGTGTTTGTTGTATCTCAGCTGGTCTGAAGAGCTCTGGATTGAGCGAAACGCGTCGTCAACAATGGATAAGACAAATATAGTGTGGTTGGAATTCTTTTATTACCTATGTTTACTAGAACAATTACTAGCAAGAAAGAAGAGACTCCTCGGACATTAATATGTGGATTTGTATTTTTCAGTCTCCAAATTATTATTATTGTTAGGGTAATGTAATGTAGACATTATTTATAATTTCAAATTACACTTTCTAAAACCATTGATTTTCTTTGTAAATAATGTGTCGGATTGGTTTGATGGTAAAATAAATTACTACTTCATTAAGTTTAAGTGTTTTTACTGTTGTTGCTATGCCAGACTCTTTCTTCAAATGAAATAAATTTATCATATTGTTCCAAACTTCGGGACTAAATGACGTAATCTAAAGAGTCAAACTCAGAAATATTGTGCTCTGTGTTTAATCATATTTACCAGAACAATTACCGCTAACGGAACGAGACTTTCATTTCAATAATACATTGAGTGGGATTTTTTTATCTCCAACTTTTGTTTGGTTAAGGTAATGGGGAGTAGGTATTATTTTTAATATTTAATTTAATATTAATAATATTTTGTGTTGAAAGTAAAAACAAAAACAATACTGTTTCATTAATTTTTGAAAATACCTTTACTACCGTTGTTAGGCTTGACTGTTTATATAGGACGAACTAAAAGGATCATAGCGTTTAAAATCATCAGAACCAACTGACATAGACCAAAGAGCGATATCAATTGAGTTCACTTTGATTAAGAAGTTAGCACACAGGATCATACAGTAAAAGTTGTAATGGTTTTTCAAACGAGACCCAAAATGTGAGCACTAACAGTTCAATATTCTTCTTCTTTCCCGAAGAAAAACAGTGAACTATTCAAAAGCGCTGGAGTTTTGCGTCTCGTTTGAAAACCACTTGAGTTCAGTCATCATTATTGATAACAGATGATGATGACAAAACCTTGTCGAAACGTTGTACATTTGCTGTTATGTTAAACTTATATTAAAGTTTTTCTTCATGACACATTCATGCCGTCTTTGTTATTAAAATACATTGTGTAACTTTAGGAAACATGTCATCAATCTTTGTTTTTCGAAGCTTGTAGCATTATTTTGGTATATCAACATTAAATAATATTAACATCTGTTTTTAAATTAATGCAAGAAGAGATCGACGAGGATGGGATTCGAACCCACGCGGGCATAGCCCAATGGATTAGCAGTCCATCGCCTTAACCACTCGGCCACCTCGTCTTATTCGATAACCTTTTATATTTTATTAGATTGTTATATTTTAGTATGGCTGTTGTAAATGTTCTGAGAGAGGAGGTGTTAAAATAATAAACTCTGTGGAAAGTTTGAAATGAACTATAGCTGAATTATTCAATACTTACGTCTTTCTCGGAGCCCATTATTAAAGGAATATAAAGATCTTTATATTTAAAAATATTACTGTGGTTTCGTTTATCTATTTTTGTACTTCACTAGAAAAGTAAGGTAACTTTTCGATTAAACTAAACGTTCTAAAAGAATTTTTTTAATTTACCACATCACACATTAGTATTTATATTATCACCAACTGAAATCTCAAAAATAAAATGAAGAGGTTCATTTAAACACTGTTAACAAATAACAGATTTAAAAACAAACTTATTTAATTTTCCTATTGAACGAGTAATGGTTAAATTGTAATAGGTAATTTATCACCTGTACACGAACGGTCTTACACAATCAGTCCTACATAATATAAGATGGTGAACCAAGAAGTTTGTGAAACAATTATTCGATAGTTTACACATATTTAGGCATTTTGTGTTTGATGAAAAAATACGTTTAACAGACATTAATAAGAAGAGATTTGTTTTAAATTCTCCAACTTTACGTTCAGTCACGTGCGAGAAGTTTTTCAATATTTGCTAATGTTAATTTTTAAAGTACTTGAATTTGTTTTCTTATAAGCTACGTATCAAGTTGAATTTAAAGGAAGGAACATATTCTGCTAATTTTATATCATCTGTACTTTCTATGTTATCATTAATTTTAAATATATGAAAAATTAAACAGGTAACACTCTTCCTAACAGGAGAGCGAAAACGACATAAACCAGAAAGAAACTTCAATTATAGATTCTTACAACTAGTATCACGAAGTGACTTAATATATATATCGTATTATGAAAGTAATTTTATGTTTTTTCCTATTATAACACTGAATTGTAAATAGGTGACCAAAAATCTGGCAGAAATCATTCATTCTCTAAGTACACTACATAACATAATTCAGTAGTAATTAGTGGGATTAATAGCAATATTGATAGTATGTTTATTTAAAGTTTTTCAGTGACTCTTTTTTCATTAAACACGTAAAAAGTAAAGTCATGAACCCACAAGCAGTTTGGAACTACAGTTGCTAGAAGAATGTGTTTCAGAAGCCGGTAGGGACAAGAAGCTATCATAAATTCTAATTTTGCAATTTCTGTGTTGTTTACTTACAGAAATAATTAAAAGGTGGCACTGTGGTATTATATTCTTTTATCAAACACATAGAGACACGGTTTTCTTTAGATTGTGTTCCAAGGTCGTCTCGAGAACGGGACTGAACATTTTGACGAGTAAACAAAGCATATTTTCTCCATTCATTCTAACCCTAACTACAACCATTACATAAGTCATCAGGGGTTAAATATAAAGACCCACACACAAATATAATTTACCAAACCTCACTTCATTCAAAGGTAAGGCTTAATAATGCACTTGTGTCTTTTAAACGGGATAGCTACAGCCCTATGGGCAATAATAGAAGCTTTTTAATTTTAGGCCTATATTATATTTAACAACCAGCTCTATACTTTACAACTAGCTGTGTATGAACAAGGTAATTCTATATAACTTCGAGCTGTCCGTTCTCATTATATTCTGATGATTATGTTTCAGAACATATTTAAAATACCTAAGACATAAAACAGGATAAAATACGAACATATGAAAGTTAATGCTTACGTCGACGAGGGCAACGGTGTAGATTTGGTGTATCTGGACTTTCAGAAAGCATTTGACAAGGTGCCACATAAAATGTTTGTAAAAAATTCTTTCTATAGGTGTGGGAGATAAGTTAGCTAATTGGCTGGATGAAAAAAAAACAACAACAGAGGGTTCTTATAAATGGAATTCAGTCATACTGGATTAATGTCACAAGTGGGGTACTTGAGGGCTCAGTCTCAGGACCTTAGCTTTTTTTTTTACATCAATAACACAATGAAGGGAGGGTCAATAAATTACTTAAAGTTGGTGATCATATTAAGGTATTTAGTGCTGTGAAGAGGATGCTGCTGCTTTACAAAAGGATTTAAATCATTTAGTGAGTTGGGTGAATCAATGGCAGATGGGTTTTAATTATAACAATGTATGTGAGCTATCATAATTTAAATTATAAGATCATTTGGATGGAAATAACCTTAACAGTTTATTAACCTTAATATTGTCAAATGCTTTC